GTCAGATACCTGTCTGCTCTGTATAGGTCACTGAAGACGGGGGTTTGGAAGTGGTTTGTGTTGCAGCCATATGCATCCATTAGCCATTAACTCCTACAGTGGGTGATGCAGTGGCTGAGGTTCCTGTTCCAGGGCTGGGGCTAGGGCTTGAGGTAGGAGTTAGCAAGGGGTCATGGGCTCCCTGGTGCTTGCCTGGGATAGTAAGTGGTGGTGGATGTAGACAGTAGGAAATACACCTGATGAATTTGAGTTTATTTGAAAAAAAATTCTCCATATAAAGATAGTAAATCTGGCTTAAACAAGTACAGTTAAACCAAAACAGTTCTGAGGCAAACTGGAACTTGACTCTTCCTTTTCCTTCATCACTGCACGTTTCAGTGCTCCCTCCACATTGTAGGTGTTTCAGGGGGTCACCAGAAAAGCCCAAGTAGACTTAGATGGAGGAGAGATTTGGACTTATCTTTGACTTTTATGGACCCTTTTTATTAAAATGCTTAGAGCTGTAAATGTAGAAATAAGAAACTCATTTATCTTGACAAAAGTGCTGCCATAAACTATTCAGGACTCATAAAATAACCTTTTAAATTATTGTTTCTGCTGGTATCGATAAATTCATACAAAGTGCTTAAAGGTCAGGCATTGCCAGAAAAATGTCTTTTCAGCTTGTTAATTAAAGGTTTATAAGAATGTGCACCAGCTTGCTCTTTGGACAAATTGGAAAAAAAAGAAAGGAGCGGGGGAAAAAAAGGCCTGCATGGATGAAAATGGTAGTGTGGAATTAGTGAGCAACAAGTCTTTGATCAACCTGGCTCACTGTAGCAAACCTGGACAGTTTGTGAGTGAAAATAGGTGGCACTGTTAACAGGAGGGAAAAAAGTTTATTTCACTTTTTGAAGGGGAAGTATCTTGATTACTCACCTCTTGCAGCCCATGGGCTTGAGCTGAGGACCCAGCCAGAACTGAATTATTATGGTGAGTGTGAGCAGTATTTGTTCTGTTATAGCTTCAGCCATGGGGAGTTTGTCCGGTTCTCATTGCTTGGCCTAGAACATCGGATAAGCCTGTTTACTTTTTCATTCACCAGGCAAGTGGTTTTATCTGCTCGATTTACCACTTAAACTGGAAGAAAGCAGTGCTCTGAAATTCATTGAAGAATCTACCCAGAACCAAACTGCTCAACCATCTGTTCTAGCACCTGCATCACCTTCATTGCAGAGACTGCACTGCAATTCCCTCTGTTCTATACTTCACCTCTTTCGCCCATCATCATGGAGACATCCTGGTCTGGTCATTAAAATCTGACCTAAAAATTAGGCAACTCAGATGTGACTCTATATCAACAGATGAGATGATGTTGATCAATCACGTGGATGAGAGACTGGAAGTAGGAAGTCTGGCTTGCATTTCCACCTGCACAGCAGTCTAGCCCTGACCACATTATTTTACTTCTAATTCTTAATTTTTTTCATCACTAAAATGGAGACAATAATACCAACCTAGGTGAAGTTCCCTGAGATAAAGGATGAAATGTGTTACAGGAAAAGTACAGAGGTTTCTGTCGTTGAATTCTGCTGATACAACAGCCTGAACTATTTATTGACCAAGCTGGGAAACAATAACAAAACAGTGTAAATAGTGAAAAGTAAAACAGAGTCTGAGATATCTCTCTGCCTGAACATACTGTAGTGCTATTATTAATGTGAGATTAAAGTTTTGAATTTTCCCTTGGCCGTATGATTTTTATACTGAGATTGTCTCCTTGAATATTAAATAACAGATCCTTACTATAAAACCACTTGTAAACAGGAGGCTGCATCTTTGTCACTGAAAATTTTGTAACCTAAGAATTTGTTTTTGCTCTCTCGAGGTTGCTGCAGAACTACTACTTCAGGAAAATAAATCTGAGGAATTTTTTGAGAGTGCAGGTGACAGGACTAATGATAGTTCATTTCTCTGATACCCACAGACAATACATCCTGACTTTGTCTTCAAGTGAAGCTAAGACAACAGTGCAGAGTAGTTTTATGGCATTTCTTCTCTCATTCCCATTCCTTTTGGCTCAATCGTTCAGTGTTTTGAAACATAAAGCAGAATTGGCCCAACAGTGCACCAAGAGGCTGAGATGAGCTCCTTCCTCACAGGACAGAGGCATTCCATTCTAGACAGGGTTGTTTTGTTGTTGTTTTTGTTTTGTTTTTTTTTTTTTTCCTTGTGATTGATATTCAAGTAGTACAAGAAAAAAGATCTGTTGCTCAGACATGGAGTTTTTGTGCGTCCTACCAATTGATAACTGTATCTTATCTAACTTCTGAGTAATTTGATTCTTATCTTTGTAGTCAATTCCCAATTTCAGTGTCAGCACTTCGTATTTTGATACATGGTATTCTGTTGCCCAGTTTGAAAATCCTTGCAAATCCACGTGTGTCTATAGGAACAGGAATATGGGAACGTGTGTTCTCAAGGTCAGATATAGCATATATAAAAATGATGAGAGGTGCAGCTGCACTTTCAGCATAACCTCCCAGAAGGAAGAACTTCTTGCTTTCTGTAGAGGATATATGTGCAACCCAGGAGAACTTGAGGTGCTCCTGGTGTTTCCAGGGAAAACTCAGGCTTCACTGCACTGTGAAAGAAATCTCATTCTGTTTATAAACAGTGTTGGGATGGAGGGAAAATATAGATCATACTTGTGATAAACTTTAAGTTCCTCTGGTGCAAGTGGAAAGTTCATTTTGGTATTCACCTTAAAAAGCAAAATAACTGGCCTGAATTAATTTTAGTTCATGCTAATGTAAAGCAGGAAGTTGTGATACGTCTAACAAGTGGCAACAATAGCAGGTGGCAGCTCAAGTTCTCCTTCTCTCCAGACTGCAGGACTTCATCACGTCATCCTTCCCAATGTGTGACGCTGTGATATGGTAGATAGGGCGAAGAAGTAATTCATTGAGATAGTTTATAATATCCTTCCCATTGATTTTATTCCATGTGTTACCCTATAGGGATAACTGCGGTGGAAATTCCCCCTTCTTTTTCCTGCTCTGCTGCCAGTATCTTTACTTCTCCAGGAGTGTGTGATTTACTTGTTCTGGCATCCATGGGTAGAAGCACTGCTTTCTCTGCACTCCCCCTCTACCACTCCACCCTTGGCTCAAGGCAGAATTTTGATGGGGTATGTTTTTCCATGGATAATCCAGGGCACTGGTAATCCACGAGTACCCAGGAAAAATTGTCTGCCATGTTTATAATTGTACAGCTCTCCTTGTTATTTAACTCAGGCAAATCTTATGCAAATTTTAATCTTTGCTGAATATATAACATCACACCCCCAAATGTCTCCAACAGGAGTAGCAGAGTTAAAAATATAAACTCTGTAGGACAAGTTTATTAAAAATATTCTGCATGGAAATACATGGTATTCTTAACAAACACTGTAGTTAGAATAAAACTAGTTAGACTGTTTTACCACTCTGCTGTTGAGGTCTGAGTAGAACATGTTGGCATGGACCTGACACAGTTTTTCTTTCCTTGAGTTGATTACATGATTGTTTCTTTTTTGTTAACAAATTTCATTACCAGATTGGGGTAACATTAGCATACTTTATCTTACTGGCTGTGATTCGATACTTTTGTTTTGAGGGGAGTTAAATTTAGAAAAATTCAGCTGAATCTGTTTTTCTTTCCTTATTACCTGTTTCTAGCAGCCTGGTAAGTTTTTGTGATCAGTGACGAAGTGTCTCTTGCTGTTACAATGACAGTCAACTGCTCGCCTATATTGCCATGCCATCCCAACAGTGATTAAGAAATCTTACACAGAAGTTATAAAACGTTTTCTTAAGAATATTGGCCAATTAACCAAAATATGAACTGTATTGAGGAGTGAAGGAATGAAAGAGGGTGAAGGGGAAAAGTTAGTCATGTCCTTTAGACCTATGACCCAATCTTAAATCTATAAGCCATCTGTATTTTTTAGTGGAGAAAATAAGGTACAAGTTATCATCTCAGATCCAGTATTTTAGGAGCCTCTGTGGGTGAGGCTTGAAAATGGGGCACCATTCAGACCATCTATAACAGAACTTATAAATGCACATCTATAGATATCTGTATCACTACAGATAGATGAAAAATCAGAAAAGGACTGAGGATAAACAGATTTTTAGGGAGGGGGGAAACTTGCATGTACTTGACTCTGTGTTACAAAACCATATTTTGCTTACTCTTGGTATCTAACTGTACTCATAAGGGTTAAAGATAATGCTGGGTTAACACGTATCATTTCTCTATCTACAAAGCAAACTTTATGTAGAATACTGCAATTCATTTGCTTATAGAAGGAGCTACCTCAAATATTTTAAATAAGCTTTGAATTGTTATACAACTAAGAGAAGGCTGAGTAGAGAAAATAAACGTCAATAGTAATAGCTGTGGTGTTGGCCCAAATGCATGTCGTCTTAGTTGAAGGTTATGTTACAGTGTGCTGTAGTAGATTTATAGGTAGCTTTCCATTTTAATAATTCAATATTTACTATTTACTAAGATACAGCGAACTTCTCTTGTGACCCTGGCTACCATGAAATGCATCATCTTACCAATGCATATTTTGAAGTTTCACGGTGGTGCATTTCACCTTTCTTCAGATCTCTTTTGAAAACAAGCTATTGCCTAGGCAGCCTTCAGCCATGGCAGCACACTTATATTTCCTTTGTTTACCAAAAAAACTTCACAACAGTGAGATGTATCCTTTGTACTCAGAATTTCCAAATGCTCTAAGGAGACAATAGGCTTTAGTTAACAGTGCTTTGTAGAGACGGGTAAAGCAAAGGAAGAGTCTTTGACTCTTTACACAGGAGAGAGCGCTTCAAATGGACTGGTGTATTATACCCTTCTGTCATGAGCTGGGAAGAGACAAAGAGCTGGAAGAGGAACTGTTGGGTCGGGCAGATTCTATCTGGGGAAGCTGTGCAAGTGTTTTAAGCTGTGTTCAACTGTTTTTCTTTCAACAGACTTTGGGAACTATCACTGCAGTGCCCATTAAGGTTCCTCAGGTCAGCTCCTTGCAGAGGTTGGCAGGACAAGGACCAGCAGTGCTACCTCAGGTACAAAACACAGTTCCAAAGGGGGGGTTGTGTAATTTTATATGTATTCTACTCTGTTCCTGTCTGCTGCCCAGGCCTGGGTAGGTCAGCACATTCATTTTGCTGAATAAAGACTCACCTTCAGTGAATTGAAAAGCAGAGTTGTTTTCTTCACCTCGTGAAACAACAATAACAACAAAAGATAGATCAGTTTTCTTCTGGGAGCATACTGTTAGCACAGTGAAAACCTATAAAAAATCTTGTGGATTCATTATGGAAGAACAAAGTACATATGGTGAAATGTAAATTTATGCTTTGTAAGGTGAGTCACAAATCACAGAAGTGAAAATTTGCAATTCTGTAATTAAAAAAAGTAGTGGAAGTATTAATCTTTCTGTTCAAGATTTAGCCTCACACATTCTTTTACTAGCTTACTTGCCTTATCCTTGTCTATCCCATTATGAAGTTTTGGCCCAACTAACCCAGGCGCAGACCGAAGCCAGATTGGCTGGATAGGAGTGAAAGGAGAGTTATGCTCACAGATTGTAAAAATATTTTCAAAATGTGTTTTCTTTTCTGTCTATTCATTGCTGTTTCCCTAACATACACTTTATTCCCTATTTCAACCCTCTTTCTCAAAATTTTTGAATGTAATTTTCAACAAGTGTTTTGCTGCAGTTCTGTGGTTTGCTTTTTGGATTCATGATAATTAAGTATAAATATGTTTCTCCCTGATGGCCCTTAGAGGTCTATTTCTCATATGTGAACAATTTTCTAGCATTGAAGTCAATGTTGGCTATTCCTGTTGTTCCTTTTTTTTTCCTAATATTTTCTTAGTGGCAGAATCTAGTAGAAGATCTGTGAAATAAATCTGCCTGGAGGAAGGAGTATTTCCAAGATAAAGTTCTTAAACTCTCTCTTTAAATTACATTTTGTGGAAGGCAAAGTTATGAACATAAAGGAAGGTTATAGTTTTCATATCAAGTTCAAGACTTTGCTTTTCAGTTGTTCTTATAGCATAATATCACATTGATTTCTGCCATTTTGGGGTATCAAAGATGGGCAGATTGCTCCTGAAAATAGATGAAGTTCAAGAGCAGCTGAAAGACCTGTAACAGGGGCTTAAATTATCATTAAGGTTATGTTTCAGCAATGATGATGGCATTGCAAATGCTGCACTTAGGGAAGCATCAATGTTCTATACTTTTGTTAAGTAGAAGAATTTTCATTCAGTGTTAGATTCAATTTTGAAGAATTGGAAAATGTGGAGGAAGCTGATTTCCTCAACTTTTTGAAAAGAAAACATATCCTTTCTGTCTTGCTGTTTAGCTCATGGCAGTATTTTCAGTTGTATTTCACTTTGTTTCACTCCTTTCCTAGCACAGCTTTCAATTTCAGACCTGTTTATGCAATCATACTTAATACTAATGAAACACCAACACTTCCTCAGCAGCCCTAAGCTATACTTCACTAAATTTTCTATTTCGTACAGATAGTATGGGAAATAACCACATAGCAATCTCATTTCTGCTGAAACTAAAAACGAATTAGGCAGCTATATGTAAGACCACATTATCAGAAGTATGTCTTGTGTTCTGAGGCCTTACAGGCCAATATCTCCTTCTTCAGCAAGAGCCTGCCCCATTTGCAGGCTGCATCCTCCTTTGCAGTTCATCACGGTCTATATGTTCTTCTCCCACTCAAAGCTGTGGAGAAGTTTAAAATTTCCGTATTATTTCCTGGTGGGGGACTCCTTCCACTCATCAAAGCTCTCTGCTTGATATCTTAAGAGAGATGAAGTTTTCATCTACAAGTGGAAAGTTTGGCTTCTAACTATATAGTCAAATGCCTTCAATGTATATTTCATATAGCTATAAATGAGAGAGATGTCAAGCTGTCATTCCCCAGGTACAGCTGGATACAGGTGATCTGGGAGGCCACTGGAAGTGAGCTGCAGCACAGTATCACTGTGAAAGCTCTCCTTTGTAATAACTGTAGGTGAGTGCATAGTCTTCTCTGGCAAATTTTGAGGGTCGATAGGAATCTGTGGTCCAGGAAACTTCAGATGGAAATAGAAAAATGCCAGGAAGCAGAGCCATGTAATGCCACAAACGTATTATGGTAAAGAACATCTCTTCCCTCTTCTCCCTCATAGCTCTGAGAAAACAAGTGCCAAATTAAAAATTATTTTGGAAATTAAGGGGTGTATAGTATCTTCCAGGAGGAGCTGGAAAATGCGCTGAATGAAATCCTGTCACAGTCCACGTCCTCTCAGCTATTACACATCAGACTTGGTTACAGAGCAACCTTCTTTTGTCCCCCCAGGTGACAGCCATGGCTCCTGTACCTTGCTCTGAGTTAGTGGCACAATCCTACCATTCTCTAGGACTGATTTTCTGAGAGGCAGCTTTGCCACCATCTCCCAAGCATACTAACAAGCAGGGTCCAACTGAGTTTGGCATCTGCTAAAACCTTTACTTTGGGTGCCCATGTAGTAGCAAATTAAAGGGACAGCTTTTTCAAAACAAAACAGTATTCATCACTCCTCTACCAAGGGGCCCATAGTATCTCACACAAAGAATAAAAGCAGTACAATGTCTGTACTTGTACATGTTAGCTATAGCTGAATCTTTTTCTGCAAGGTATTGCACCTTCCCCGACTTTCATCTCTCGAAGTCTAGCTTTAACAGTGGATTGTGTAGAGCCCAAATAGCAATGAAACCATCCCAGCAAAGGCTTCAATAAGCCCACCTGCATGCCTGCCTCTTTACTCAAGCAGCTAAGTCTAGGTGTAGTTTGTGCAAGTGCAGTGGCAATCACCTAAGGTGGCTTAATCTTGGCTGTGTGTGCTGCTGCCTCAATTTTGGAGGGGTGGAAGGCCAGGGAGGGTCCTTTTTGGGATCCCTGCCATGTGAGGAGCTTACTTGTCTCTGAGTTGCCCTCCAGAAGTGGCTTCACTCCTAGCCAGACAGATTGCGCTTCTGTGTCAGGTGCATGTAGATAAGTGGGATTAATCCACGTCAGTGTCTGCATTCTCGACAGAGCACCACTTGCTACCTGACATTTCTCCTTTTGGCCAGTCTCATCATTTCTTTGGGATTTCAGACTCCCATTAGATTTAGATGTAGGCATGAGAGGCATCAACATTGCCAGGCTGACTGGAAAGAAACAAGAGACTCCTCCATTTAGGGGCCCCTCATCACATCTAAAGGAATTTTATGTTTTTCATGCCTTCAGTCTCCTCATCTAGACAGCCTCTTTTGATTTACCTCATGAAGTCAAGCAAAAAGTACCACACAAGTAAACTGAGGCACTTAACAATACTTATGTGAAATAATACATACAGCTTTCTCATTTATACAGATACTTGTCATTTGTTTTGTTCATTTGAATGGGTTTATGATATGACCCCCTGGGAGCTCTTCCATATGGGGAATCGAGTTTCAAAATCTGCACATTCACAAATGGCAGCAAAATCCCATCACTTAATGCAGAACTGCTATTAAATGGTGAGCAAACAAACATTAATTACAAGTTCATTGCACAATACAAAGACGATTTCTTTAGGCATTCATTATTTGCCAAAACAAGCCTCTTTGGCAGACCTTTTCTCCCTTTCCTTTCCTTTCCTTTCCTTTCCTTTCCTTTCCTTTCCCTTTCCCTTTCCCTTTCCCTTTCCCTTTCCCTTTCCCTTTCCCTTTCCCTTTCCCTTTCCCTTTCCTTTCCCTTTCCTTTCCCTTTCCTTTCCCTTTCCTCTCTTCTCTCTTTCTTCCTCCCTTTTCCCTCTTCTCTCTTTTTTACAGAATATGAAGTTATTTTTCCTTTCCCTTTCCCTTTCCCTTTCCCTTTCCCTTTCCCTTTCCCTTTCCCTTTCCCTTTCCCTTTCCCTTTCCCTTTCCCTTTCCCTTTCCCTTTCCCTTTCCCTTTCCCTTTCCCTTTCCCTTTCCCTTTCCTTTCCCTTTCCTTTCCCTTTCCTTTCCCTTTCCTTTCCCTTTCCTCTCTTCCCTCTTCCCTCTTCCCTTTTCCCTCTTCTCTCTTTTTTACAGAATATGAAGTTATTTTTGCTTTCATCAAATAAAAAAAAGTTTCTGCTGTGAGCTGTGATGTTTGGGAAGTTAATTCCAGATAGTCTTTCTCTTCTTACTTTGGCCTTTGAGGTTTCCAGCTGGGTGAGACGTTTTGAAACTGCAGACTCTCCACTGCACTCTGAGAACCAAATCCTGGAGGTCTTCTACTCAAACACATGGCTGATGCACTCTCTTACTACTGAGCTGTTCCTCTGCTTTATGACACCCATCAACTGTAATGAGGGGGTGGCCTTGTGTCAGGTTTGGGCTCCAATTTCTAGCTGCAGTGCAGACAGTCTGTATGTTTTGAACTCGTTTACATAAAAATTTAAGTCACTGTAGCCACCTGAAGGCATGTGGGAAATCTTATTTTCTGTTCTTTGAATGGAAGATTTTAAATGAGACAGTGAAGATGTTAAAATAACCCTCCCATTTTGTTGTCAGTAGTTTGGGCCCAATCTACTTCTTCTTTGAATTGATGGAGAGACTGTGATGATTTGAATAGCAGTTAAATCAGATTATAGTGCTATTTCCCTGACCTATTTTTCCAGTCCTGGCTGAAGACAGGGCTTGGAATGGCTTTGCTCATGAGACTGCTGATTGGAGTAGAGCAGTCATGTAGCAGATGCCTGTGGTGGAGCTACCACCTAGGTTACTAGTGAAAAGAAACAGGTCCGCACAACCACTTTAGATGATACGTGCATGTTTTTCAATCAACTCTATCCAATTCTGCTCTCAAGTGCTGCTTATCTTCTGTAGTGATTTTAATACACATAATTCAGTAGGGTCTGAATTTGGTCACTGGGCTGCGGGCTACTTTGGGACAGGGGCTGTTTTTTTACCATCTGCTTGTTCATCACTGGGTGCCCAGCCAGAGAGTGGTTTCTAGATGTTCCCAAAATGTAAACGCAAGTTCTCATTTTTAGTTTCTTGTCCTAGTTCTCATGAGTGCAG